CCCGAAGCTCCTGCCACACACCTGCTGCTGATCAGGGCTGGTCGGGGAGCTACTTAGGAGAGTTTTGGAGCTCCCACCGACGTGGGATCATTGCGTGAGACTCCATGTTAGTCATCCAGTTTAGGTTTAGTCTTTGAGTGCATGCCTGCTATAGTTAAGTGTCCTGACAGCTGCCGCTATCGTTTCCTGCAGGAGGAGCGTGGGAAGCCTGAAGAGCAGCGAGCACCGGGAGTGCAGACACACGGGAGCAGAGAGCACAAGGAGGACACGACACGGGAGTCTGGGGAAAGCACGGGGATTTATTGTTGTTTGGTTCCATACACTGTAAATAAACGCACTGCTTATACACAGAGCTCCGCGCCTGGGTCCTCCTTCCCTCACCTTCCCCACGGTTGGCCATCGTCAACCGTGACACTCATCCTGTTCACAGTTTATCTCAACGCAAAAACGACAAATGTGAAATTGAGTACAATTTGGGTGAAGACTCGTTTAGGTGAACGTTGTGCACAAATCCCAAAAGTTTGATTCTGTTGGGAGAGACGTTTCGTCGCTCATTCAGTTTCTCCCACTGAAAATACTACATCCGGGGGAACAGAATCAACCTGTTGGGATTTACTTAACTGGGTGATTCAGCATGGATCAAGACGTTGTGCACAAATGATTAAATTCTGACCAGCATGAGCTTACTGGTCATGTGTCTGAAGCAAACACAAAGTGTTTTGTCAGCTCATCCATCCACTCAACTACTCCTGTCTCAATTGCTTTGAACATGAGAAGGCATTGTGACTTTTCAGAGTGGCTTAAGAAATGAACTACTGGTTCTCATAAGTTGTCTCATGTGCAATTTTTATAAAGGAACAAATAGCATACCACATAAAACATATGCCATGTGTTGTGTAAACCCATTTAAAGGTTTTAATGTGCCATTTTAAAACTTTAAATGACACTTCAAATGTTATTTCTACAATATGCCAATTTTCTGACATTAGTTTGAAGTCTGTAAGGTTTTAATAGTTCGCCTAAAAAAATCTAACTGTTATAACCACGTATGTAAAAGTACATTTATTCTTAACATGCTTTTTGTGTATGAGACGTCTTGTGACATGCAGAGGGTTGGTGTGACAGGACATACAGAGGCCACAGGTTTGTATGACAGAAGAGGATGCTGGGGATAAGGTGAGATGGAGGCACATGATCTGCTGTGGTGGCTCCTAAAGGGAGCAGCCAAAGGAAGATTTGATACTTTGTATGTGTACAAATTCTGATGTAAGTGGAAGTACTATCTCCAAATATATACAGATCGGCTGATTATGACATTATAGCATTGATAAATTAAAGCCTAAATGTTATTCCTTTGTATAGTTACAGTTTATTATTCAAGACAGCTCATGGCCCGGTGATGTGCAGCTGAAATACAACAACCTGTAACCTGTTATCGTCTTCTGTGCATATCAGGTAAATGAGTTATAAAACCTGTATTCTGGGTTCTTTAGTACCTATAAACATGTTCTTATGGAGCTGCCTTCTGCTGTTCATCGGTTGAACCATCAGTCTATGTGCTTCCATCACTTATGATTACAGTACAGCATCATTAAAGTACAAGTCATGATTCAGTAGCCTGTAGAACACCTTTGCCATGACTGTTCTTGTATAACTTTATCAGTCCAGAATGGGAATTCTGGCCCGTTCTGCCACAGCACTTAAGTCAGATTGAGGTCCGGACTTTGGCTGTTTGTTTTAAAGCTTCAATTCTTTTCCTTTTCAATCGTTCTGCTGTTGATTTCTGGTGTGTTTGCATAACCCAGTTTCAGCCAAGCTTTAGTTGTGGGACAGATGGCTTTACATTAGACTTTAGAATACGTTGGTACACAGAGGATTCATCATTAACTTAATAACTGCAAAGTGACCAGGTTCTGTGGCTGCAAAACAAACCCAAATCATCACCTCTCCATCACCGTGATTGACAGCTGGTGTGAGGTGTTTACACTGTGTTTGGTTTTTGCCAAACATGGTGCTGTGCGTTCTCATATAAACTGTTCCAGAAGTCTTGTGCTTCTGCTTAGATGCTGTTCCTTTTAGAGAGAATTCACTAAAAAGAACATGCCCATCTAAACAAGCCATCTGTTCCTGCTCTGCAACTTTAATGTTTAACACTTAACTTTACCCGTCAGAGTATGGATTCGCAGAACACGCGTACATGCATTCCGTTACGCCCCAACACTGATGCTGGGCAATAACTCAGTGAACAAAGAAATGTGACTTAATCCTAAGAACAGTGGCGTGTGCAGCGGGGTGGCCTGCCCCTCCCCCCGCCCCGCCCCCACCAGACTGGCCACCCCAGGTGCCACCCCGAAGCTAAAACAATAAAATTCAATCAAATATCAAATGTACAATTATGTTTCCACAATAAAGCCTAGATATTCGAGTGTACGTGAATGCAGCATTGGCTTCTGCACTATGAGCATCACATTAGCAAAGGTAGGAGAGCCAAGCAGGAAAGACGGCACTGCAGAAAACAATTTTTCGGCGAAAGAAAATGAGGACAGAATAAATGTCCCGGTAAGTAATATTAAGTTTGTTGAGTTTAGTAAACTTCGGTGAAATTAGAATACCAAGGAAAAAATAACACTTAAAGAATTATTGCAACCCTCGAATATTTCAGACAGTACTGGGGGAGCTAGCATAAGAGTTATGAGTTATAAGATATAATCCAAGTTGTAACATTTGGTTGCAGGTTAACATAGCTGGACTGGCCATCGGGCATACCGGTGGGCTGATGACTTTTTTTTTTTGTAAAGGCATGAACAGTGAGAGGTGGTGGATTGGCCAGATGCTGGCCAATGTGTAAAAATAACTTGGTTGTTTGGTGGTGGCTATGGTGGAGCTTTCACAGAGGCCAGCAGGTGGATGAGGGAAAGTGGAGGCAGGAGGAGGAGAGACCCGAGGCAACAGGTGAACTGAACTTCAAGTAAGAAGTTATGACCTGCAGTGTATCTGGGTCAGATATAAACCAAGTTTAGGTGGAGTTTTCGTTGTGCTGACTTTTTACAGTCAGTTACAATAACTCGTACTGCGTGCTAGCTAGCATGACAGAGTTTCTATACAGCTGGGTGGGTGCTATGATGTTACTGATAGTGAACTTTATTTTATTCATAAGGTTAGTTAGTAGAGTTGCCAACCGTCCCGTAAAAAATGGAATCGTCCCGTATTCAGAGAAAATATTACGAGTTTCGTATTGAGCTGAAAAGGAACACAGTTTGTCCCGTACTTCAGCTAGAATGAAAGAAAAGAAGCTGGAGTTATTCTGTCTTCACGCTGCAGCTGCCTCTTCTTCTCTCATTCTTCCCCCTCCATCTCCTGTTGCTACTTCAATCATGAAACTGATCAATGATCAGCTGATCGGCTCTCTTGTTTATCGCCCACTTTGCGCCAGAAAGAGGAAACCAGCGGATGTCGCGCTAAACAACAGCAGCACGTTTAAGCTTGATCAGCTGTTGTTAGAATTTATTTAATATTACTTTCTAGTATCAGCTGATGTTTGCTGGAGCCACAGCTGTAAAGCTGCTGGTCATGATATGGTTATCTGGTGAGAGGGAAACATGAAGATGAAACCAGGAGATGTCCTTACTGAATCATCAGAGCTGAACAGGTGATGAAGAAACAGGTTTACCTTTTAGGTGACATGAATGAGTTGAAGGGAAGTTATGAACAGTTTCTGAGAGACAAATAACACCAGGATCCTTTTTTTATGTAGCTGACAGCTGGTAACTGTGCAGGGGCGGGTCTAGGAAAGTTTTGCCAGGGGGGCCAGGTAGGGCATTAACAGGGAAAGGTGGGCACAAAGAAATACTTTTCTTTCTTATTCTCATTTAAAATATCTAGCTTTTATTAAATAATTATCTGAATCTTACGACCAAAGTTTTTATCTGACGTAAAATGTATAGAAATCATACATATACCAAAAAGACAGCGTACATCACTGTCACAACAACATTTGTTTTCATTCAAAGGCTTTATAGCTTTAATACCTGGTGGGCTGGTCTGTAGTGAAAATGCTCGATTTTTTTGTCCCAGTCCAGCTCTGCGGGTTAATACTGGCAGTGTCACCATGCCAGCTGACTGTATTTATCATCAGCCAGTGTTGTTCTTTATACATCAATATTACCATAGTTTACCATAAGGCAGCATAGAAAGTATTTACTTGCTTTCAGGTTTTATTCAAATGTTAGTCTTTTCATTTGTTTCCCCACTTTTTTCCTGTTTCAAAATCAAACACCAGTTTGTGAGAAGATTGTCTTCTTTTTTTTAATAGGCAGATAAAGTTTTGCATTGGCATTGGCTAATTGTTAAAAATGTTATAAAAATTTTAATATTCAAAAATGTTTTTGCCCAAAACATATGTGCACTATATGTCAGTAAAAATACTATGCAAATATTGCTGTCCTTGAATGCTGAATAAACACTGACAAAGCACTGATTGTATCTCTTGTACTTTATCAACGCAGTATCTAAAAACTTTACAACCTAACGGTTGGTAGAATTTTTTTTTAACATTATCTGCCAATTACATCTGTCACCCTTCTCCAAATCTGTGCCCCTACCTGGCCCCCCCAACAAAAATTTTCTAGACACGCCACTGCCTAAGAAATATAGTAGTGCTGTTCAAAGCCCAGACGATGATATAAACATTTTTCCACCAAAAGCCGCAGACACAGGAGTCTACAATACAGCTGGGAGCTGATCTGCTGACATCAGGTGGCAGGTAGTGATGAATTTCGGGCTGTGTTTAAACACAGATAATCATCCTAAATTTGGGGCTGACTAAGCATTTCGAAGACTCATAGCACCCTGAGTTAGAGGAACTTAACAAGCACCTCAATAATGAGGCTGATTCTGTTTTTGTTAGTGTGCAGGAAAGAGTCAGAATATCAAGCAGAAAGGGACAAAAAGATCAAAGTGCAAGAAGAATAATGGAGCAGGGAATTGTGCTGCAGACACACCTGCTCTGGATTGTATTTGGAAAGGACTCCTCCACCATGAAACTCCTCCAGCACATCCTTCAGCTTCTTTGTGGAGTCTGAAGAGGCAAGAGAAAAACTGAGTAAACACTCCACACAGAGCAATGTATTTTACTTTGACTCACATACATCTTAGCCAAAATGAGGATACAAAAAATAAATAAACATGATACAACTCATAAATAAATTCCCAGATAAACACTCTCATCTGTAAGAAGGCGCTCTGGATCAGTTAAGCTGGTGAGTCAGCCTGTTAAAAGGGGAAAGGGACATTGCGTAGTTCTCACTTTTTGATGCAAATCCTTTATACGCACACACTAAATGCCTTTGTGCAGAATACTGACCTCATCCCACAGCCATCTGTCAAATAATTAGAAAGACCAAATATACATGTGTGCATGAAAACCACAGGACCACCATCACCGCAACACATACACAACAGGGTGGCTGTAGCTCAGGAGGTAGAGCAGGTCACCTACTGATCGGAAGGTTGGTGGTTCGATCCCTGGCTCCTCCAGTCTGCATGTCAAGTGTCCTTGGGCAAGATACTAACCCGAACTTGCTCTCCGATGCATCCATCAGAGTATGAATGCGTATGAATGTCGTTAGAAAGCACTATGTATAGATAAAGTGGGTGTGATTGGATGAATTAGGCATGTTTTATACAGCGCTTTGAGTACTCCGTGAGAGTAAAAAAGTGCTACATAAGAATCAGTCCATTTACCATCTGCTCCAGGCCTGGTTTCACTGGTAATCTTAGAGTTATGGAAGTAAATCTGTTGGGCATCTTTCTTTGCCTTTAGACAATAATTCTGATGGCAAAAGAGCCAAACGGGACAGGCAAAAAAAAGAAAGAAAAAAGTGTTATGGAAGTATGGAAGTGTTTCCTATATCTGCCGTGATTAGAGTGACACAAGGAGACAAATGCAGAGAATGAGGATACAGTCTCAGGTAATGTGAGACGTGGGTTAAAATACCCGATCTAGTGAGGAGACACAAATCCCTTTGCAGCTGTATCACAAAAGGCACAGGGGGTAAATTCTTGCCAAATTAAAGTATCTGGAGCTTTTGATAACAAGAGAGCAGCCAAAAATATTTTTGATACACTATATTGTCAAAAATGTTCACTCACCCATTCAAATCATTGTATTCCTCGCTACATTTTTTCTCTAAGGCAGCCAAGGTCAAAAACCCTGCTGGAGCACAGACGCAGCAAGAAAAAAGGAGGGCTTGGAGGGTGGGTTTTTGTGTGTGTGTGTGTGTGTGTGTGTAGGTGGCTTCATTAATCCACTGTGCTACTTCCACATGTTAAGTGTAAGAAAGTGCATTGTTTCTAAAAACATGCAAGTTCCTCCTCTGTAATGTGTCATTAAGTTTCTTCCATGGGAATAACTCTTCCTGCCTTAAAGAGTTTATTTTCTAAATGAGTATGCATGGATATATATGCAAATCCCTCCACTGCGTCTCCAACTCCATACATATTCACCATATCTCTGCCAAACACTAACTGTGTGCTACAGTAGGGTAAGTTGCACTGTGTGAGTAATTCACTAGACATGTCATAAACGGTTTCTAACAAAAGAATGGTGAATTTTGCAGGTTAACCAGTAAAACTCATTACCTCCCATCATGACATTTACAGGGAGTGCAGAATTATTAGGCAAGTTGTATTTTTGAGGAATAATTTTATTATTGAACAACAACCATGTTCTCAATGAACCCAAAAAACTCATTAA